TGAAGACAATAAGGAGTTAAAGGCAAATGACCTAGTTCGAAACCGAGGCTATATTATTTGCTAATTTATAATTACACTTCAGATTAGTAGCTATCATTAAGTTAATTGACTATTGGTAAGAGGTTATTTAGAGATATGAGTATATAGCTATTACTACTATGGGATTGTAGTGCTAGATAAACAAATATAGACAGTTAAGTGCTATTTACATAGCATTTTGATAGGCATGTAAATGATCTATATTGTACATACATCGCGGAGTATATTAATCAAGACAATATTAACATAATGACCTAATTAATATGTACTATTACATTATTCTATTCTAATAATATTATAAATGTGAAAGTTTGTAAACATTATTTTAAAGATATGTTTGTTATTCAATCGCGTTACAACTGAAGGGACCTGAATAAGATACAGGAGTAGATCATATCTTTAATTAACATATTACGATAATAATGCAGACAAATCCACGGGAACTAGATAGTCTTTAATAATTTGTAATATATGTCTTTTGTGCGTATTTCTGGAAGATAGAAGTTTATACGTCAGTATAAGAGTTTACCTAATAGTCTTATGGAATTTAATGATCGAGTGATGGGAGGCAGTGTAAAACATTATCAAAGTCGTAACTGCGCTTGCCAATCCTCCTGTCAAGCGTACTAGCAAATACCCTCAATAGGGGAAGGTCTATGTTCAGAAGTGCATAGTTACCGGCTGATATGATGATGATGATGATAGGAGTTTACTTGTCATCTTTTAGAAGAAACAGTAAAGAGTATCTTATCTATTTGTCTACGAGGCTCTAAAGTTCATAAATACTTTAAAGATTCATTCTAAAAATTTAATGATATTTAATCGTGATAAAAAATATATTATCTGATTACAAAAAATACTCGTAATTGATTAATCTTTGACGGTTAAAAGCTTCAAGTTTTAGTGGCAATAATGGTCACTATTAGTCATAAAAGTATAAGTTCTTTAAGTAACTGTTAAGGTAAAGACTAGCTGAACTGACAAATAACAAGACTGGAGGTTCGCATTATATGCAGATAGATACCATCAGCTTCTTTGTCATTACTAGCAATATGAAAAAGGAGTTTAAAGGATGAATATAATAGATTTTTTATAATAAAATACATTCGTGTTAAAGATACTCGTATTGGGGCTTAGATTTAAATTATATAAAAATAAAATTCATAAAATATATTTAGTTATTACGTCCACTGGGTGAGCCTTATAGTCTTCCAATACAATCGCCCAGGAAAGCATGAGTACAATTACATGTAAAAAGGAATATTACACAAAAATAACAAAAATAATATAAAAAGATTTAACTCAAACAAAAAACGTCTGAACACAAATACTCTGTGGTCACTCGACGAAACTCCAGCAAGTTGAAGGCAAATACATCCAATTGCGGATACTGGCGCAAAATATCATTGAGTAGTTTCAGTGCAAGGGATAGGGGAGCTTGCTTAGCCAACTCTGTTCTTCGTAATGGAACATCGAATAAGTGCCGTCTACGTGCTCGCACGTAGTTACATTTATAAACCAAATATATTTAAACAACAGACTATTATGACAAACAAGCTAACGGTTCACCCAACGAAAAGTAATAATTATCTCCTATAGATATTACGTAACAGCACCATAGATTTTACAAAATACACTGTGATGCTAAGGATAGATAAAATGGTAATAGATCCTTATGCGTTCCATTTCTGACGATTAAGGTGTCTTACATTCCTACTATGTAATTTCACTGGCATGTCTCACCCTTCAAACCGAAACACAGACATGCCAGTACAGCTGGAGAAACGAGCGGGACAGAGATAGTCAATCTAACGACTTTTATACAAAGTCTTCTCCAATACTTATCCTTCACCTTTATCAATACCTAGAAAGTAAATTTAGCGGTAAAACGCACGTACCTACATAACTAAGTACATGGAAAAAGTTTAGTAAATACATATCAAAAGTTGTCTACTAACTTGAAGGGCTTCAACTCGCGGTGTAACGCCTCAACATACTCCATTTATCCTGGTTTTACTAAACTTTGGGACTTACCTTTTTGAATAATACATTTTTTTCTTCGGCTGTCGCTTATTTTGCATGGTGTCAATAATTCATTTATGCTAATATTCTGTTTGCTTTGCGCTTCACAGACAAGAGTAACCGATAAGGTATATTTTAGGCTTCAAATTCTCTAGGCGGCTTCTAAAAGATGTTTCAAGTCAGTGAAAAACTTTGCGAAGCTTTGAAAACTGAAGGAATTTAGATCCATCAATGAAACGCTCTTTAATTATGTTCGAATTTGGCAACCGGCGGCTTTCTTAAATAACAAGCTATCAACTTATTCCTTATATTGTAAATGAAGTAGAAATTTAAAGACTACGAGCATTATTTAAAGAATACAAACTGCAATGCCAATAGTATAAAAATATTATCTTTTATTTTGGGCAAAAATAAATTTTTACGTGCCTTTTTATGGAATTTATTAATTTCAATATTTTATGTTTATTTTTCGAGAATAAGAAATTCAGAATAGTTTTTCTCATTACTTCTTTGTAATAACGGTGGGTCAAAATATGCAAAACTGTTGTAAACTAAATATTTGATAGTATTAGCAGTTATTGAGATATCGCGCTGTACGAAATAGACGGTTGGAAGAACAAATTAAGTCGTATTACAAGTGTTCCTTTGTAATTTTGGTACGGAACCCCAAGAACAGATTACGGGTATTATTTCCTTATGTTATAATGTCAAGGGTTAAGTACAACGCTCGTTATTTTCAACATTTCTAAATGAACAGAAAGGATTTAAAAGGTCAATGGGTCTTGGAATATCCTGAACGTTAGGTATCTACCTGTCTCTCTGTTACACGAAAAAATATTATTGAAGGTCAAAGAGACACCACTTTGATATTTGCTTAAGGAATTATGATATATGGAATTTTATCTATGTCTTGATTTTTTAATGATTAAAATTGCTAATATGTCAGTGTGTACATTATTTTGAATAGTGACAACCTTCAGATATTTATATATATGTATAACAGAAATTGGGTCGACAACACAATTGTTAGGGCTTCATTTGGAAACTTTCTTCAGGGGGCGTATGACGCTTTGGGTCACAGTGTCACGTGTAAAGCGACGCATGCCCTTTGAAGAAGACTACCGAATGAAGTCGAGCCAACTTTTAAAAGTGATTTCACACATATTATAGTAAACTATTATTAGTATTACCAGAGGGAGACTTTGTACAAAAGTCGATTGCTTGGGTATCTCTGTCCCATTCGTGTTTCAACCGTGAAGCAGTTGTGTTTGCATAGCTGTGTTTCGGTTTGAAGGGTGGGATATGGCGTGAATTTACTGGGTACAGAGGAATAACATCTGAGTCCTTAGGAATGGCAACGCATGGGGGGGGGGTATCATGGGTGAAACAGAATACTCTGTTATGTCCATGGTACTGCTCATGGCTATAGGCGACGGTTACCACTTTTCATCAGGTGGGCCGTCAGCTTGTTTGCCATTCTAAGTTGTATAAAAAAAAAAAACTGTTATCAAAAATATGCTTTTGAAATATATTATAAACCATATTGACTTCGTGTATCTGGTAGGAAGTAGATACCGCGCTGTATTATATTTCATATTTTACATTTATATTGAACGATACGAAACGTATACAAAATACAATTACTTTTATTGATTACTGAAAAGAGAAAGCCAAAATACGTATTAGTATAGTAGTATATATATAAAGAAGCTGACGGCCCACTTGATTGAAAGTGGTAACCGACGCTTATAGACATGAACAGTACCATGGAGATAACAGAGTATACTATTTAGCCCATGATACCCTCCATGCGTTACCATTCCTGAGGACTGAGGTGTTATGCCCCTGTAAATTCACTGCCATATCTCACCCTTCAAATCGAAACACAGCTATACGAACACAACTGATTTACAGTAGAAACAGGAAAAAATCATCAAGAAACAAGTAATTAAAAATTAGTGAATCATTTTGATAAAATTTCAATGGGACTTATCTGAAAGTATATCTCTTCAGATAAAAAAAAAAAATTAAATCGGTTTGTAAATAACGGAGTTATGAAAGATAAAAACATGCAACCGAACTGAGAACCTACTCCTTTTTGAAGTCGCTTGATAACTTACAAAACATTCAACGTCGCAGTTACAACCATTTTATTCTAATTCTAATTCTACTTCTCGCAACGAAAAGGAAAATCCGTAAGAATACCCTCGATAAATCGAAAGGTGCAATTGTCTAATGATTTATTGTATTTATAAATGTTTGCCAGTGCCCATATTTCATCGCGAGGGAACCTATAGAATGGGTAACTCGAGCCTATAGGATACGACTCCCTATGTTCCTTTTATATTATGATCGGTAAACAGCAACGGATCGTATATCAAGTAGCTAATAGCTACCTATATATATCTTAATATATAAAAAAATCCCGTGTCACGATGTTTCTTTTGTTGAGGATATGCGGCGTTTTAATAATAACAATTGAAGTCAAAACAATATTTTTTTTAGAATTTCCGTCTAACTGTCTGTATGTTGCAATATGTTAAGCAAAAACTACTGTTCCAAATTCGATGTGATTTTTAAAGATTTGTTTCTGATGATAGAACTTAAAATTTGATGCATATCTTGATACGTCATTTAAAAGTAGTTTTGTTCATTAGTTTTCTTCCTATATTCAATATTCACATATATGAAATCGCGGGCAATAGCTAGTAGCTTGATATGTATTGTCTGAATTCTGAAGGACTAAGTAATGGTATTATGTTTCAGATCAAACGTGTCGAGTAAGGTGATTGACCTTATGAAACGAATAACGTATAGTACATAAGGAAGGTAAATCGGAAATTTCCATTTCTTTTTAAAGTCACTTAAAAATTATATTCTACAATTTTTGAAGTTATATCTATTGCAAGTGACAGGGATTTAATATAAAAGAAAAGATATAATGTAAAGTTTTATATATTTAAATATTTACACAAACTTAAGGGCTTAAAATTCGTTGTACAAAATAGTGTGGTACTTAAACCCACTTAGTTAAGGGTACTTGGATGTAGAAGAACCATTAAACACTTCATAAAATTTCGACACTAGACGGCGTGTCCGTACCCTATGATTGAGAATTATTTAGAAAATATACAATGAACACATTATATCAAAACACGAGGTTATTCGTTGAGGTTTAGTGATGTCCGTAGTAACCAAGCCCGCCATATCCGCCGAGACCGTGCCCGTAACCGCCATATCCGCCATAACCGCCATAGCCGTTGTAGGCAACCTGGTTGGCGTAGCTCAAAGCAGGGGCGCCATAGTATCCATGGCCGGAGTAACTGTGACCACCATAACCTGAAATCAAATTATTATCATGTTAATAGTTATTACTGTAGGAATTTAGTGGAACTTAAAACATATTTTTAAACGTAACTTAGAATGGCAAGCAAGTTGAACAGCTTCATGGACATCATATTAACTGTAAGGTACATGGATCCCTCATACGTCCGCATTCCTAAAGACCACGGTATTATGCCGAAGAGAATATAGATTTGTGTTGAGAGATAACTTAGTTCAATATATAAATTGATAAGCTTAATAAGATTTCTATATATTATTTTCAAAAACATTGTTATGTCTATAAATAAGGTTTTTTATAATAACAATTTTATAGATTTGAAGATATTTCCAAGAAAACTAAATACATTGATTTACAAATTCAATCACGTATTGATTTAATATTAAGTCATGCCATTTGTTTTTAAAACTTAAGGGAATTAATCATTACTTCCTTACTTCTTACTACTGGGAAGATACTGGCTACTAAAATACAGTTAAAACTAATTTATTTGGGAGACAGGGTCTAATTTGAATTGTAAAATAGTTTTGCAAATAAATAGTTAAGTATGTATAGCTAGCTAACTATACAGAAGATAAGACAGAAGATAAGTATTTTATTATTAATAATAAATTAAAAAAAAAAAATTTAGACATAAATTTTATTTATAATGAAGTCAAGTTTTTATGAAATATATTTTTATTTTAAAGCAATATTTTGCTTTTTAAAAAGATTGATATAGAACAAATACGATTGCATAAAGAATTATGGAAATTGATTCAAAATAGGTGGAGAGATACATTCAGTTGTTAATTACTTATTTTTGGAAGTTATTAAAAAACTGTGTAATCGACCTGTTATAATAGGAATTATTAAGATAATTAACACGGAAAATTGTTATGTACAGACATGACGGCATTGTCTACAGATAACAATGTCCCAGCCGATTTATCTTTAAAAAATCTATAATATTGTTCACTGTTGTACAGAATTTCTCAGGGTATTGGGAAAAAATCCCACGATACTCACCGAGGCCGGAGTATCCGCCGTATCCGCTGAGGCCGCCATATCCGTATCCCCCGTATCCTCCGTATCCGCCGAGACCATGCGCGGTGGTGTATGCAACCTTGCTGACAGCGACGGGGGCGGCAGCTGAAATATTAATGAATGTCTTAAATAATTTGAAAATAGAACTTTTATAGTTATATCTATTTCTTATTGACATTATTATTTCTCATGTTTATTATTTCTGCTAATATTACATTCTCATCGTATATTTTTATATGTTTATGTGCAAGTTAGTAAATATATTTTAAAGTTTGTTAGTATAATTTAAAAGGCTGAACGATATATAACGCTTTTTATCCTACTTCATAATTATGTTACTATGTAAAATTACATGTCTTCATACATTGTCATAATTTATTTATATAGGATTAAATCATCAGATCATTAGTATCCTTTTAAAGGGAGAGTTGAAAAGAAAATGTTTCTTTAAAAAATATAGGAATAAAAACTAATTTGCGACTGGATGCGCTATATTAGTGCAAGAAGTTTTTCTTTTTTCTTTTTTTCGACCCTTATTTATTTGGAAGAACGTTCAGTTTTACTGGTAAACATTTTATTGAAAGTATAATAATAATTTGTACTCTATATACAGGGGGATATCTCTATACCTATTTGTATGTATTGTATGGAGTAGATCTATTTCATGATCTGTGGAGAGAAACTCCAGTTGGATAAACATCATCGCTGTAAAGCTAAAGCCACTAAGGAGAATGATGAAATTCGAAAATTAAGAGATTTTTGTGATACAGCCACGTAAAAAGGTTTTGACAGTGGCTTGTATTCATCCTTCGTAACAGCGACCTAAACTTGTGTCACATCTCTCATAGTTACAATATTTCTTATTACACATTGTTAATAATTAACGCCATGTCATCACACTATTATAACGATGAACGTGGGACAAACAAGGCTTTATGCTAATAATAGGAAAAAGTAACCATTATGGTAATGATTTTAAAATTGGTACTTTTAACAAAATTTCATAAAAAGTATATTAAAAAATTAAATTTTTAATAGGATAGTAATAGGTATTTGTTGATTTCCCAGGACATATTAAAATTTTACGTGACATGGAACGAGCGGACCGACGTCCGTCGGATAAATTTGGTTTGTAAACGATATTTTCAAACAGCAATATCAAAAGTTGTTATTGAATATGAGATAATATAGTCTAAAACACCAGACTGTTAAGTATATTTGTAATTTTTATACTCGTATATTTTGCCAGTTTATAACCGCTATTTATTTTACTAATATATTAATTTCATGCAGCTTACAGAGAATAAAGCAATTTATTTATTAAAATCAATACAATGTAGTTCCATCTAGAAGTAATAATATAAACAGTGAATTATAAAACGTATTTAGAATATACTTATTATGAAACATTCTATATTAGACATTTGGGCATACACCTCACAAATATTACCCTTTTTTCTTTGTTTCTTGAATAAAAAATATAATAACAACGTAACTGAATGGGAAAGGAAGGATTATCTCACAGTGGCTGCATTTTTTTGTGAACAAAGGACGTGACGAATTTTTAATCGAACGTTCAATGTGAAGGTTACAACGGAGTTTCGACAATAAAAACTTATAATAGACTTTATTGTGATGAAATTGTTACTTATTGGTATACAATATGACAAATACCTAAATAAAATGTTTTAGTAACTTATCGTTTTTATAAGTTAGTTATATAAATGTTATAAGTGACATGGAGTCCTAAATTTTCCAGATTGATATAATTTTTGTCGATTTTATAAAATATATTTTTGTTGAGAAAAAGTGAAGAATAGATTAAGTGAATTAAATCATTATATTCTTTTCCATTTATACAAATGAAAATTAAGTGCCAGTCGTTGGGAAGCGTATTACTTGCGAACGGCTGTACAAATTATTTTTTTAAAATGTTCCTTATTAAGAAAAGAAAGTAGCAATGAATTTTGATAGGATATTTTGCATCTCTCAACCAGATTAAAATTCTCAATATTGTTTATACTTTTAATTTTTCAATCAGATCTTTCTCAATTTTTATTAAAATCCATTAATTATCTATTATGTATGACAGGCAATGAACTGATTTGAAACTTTCTTAAAAAATAAAAATAAATACTCAGAAATCGTTCCATTTTTAGTTACTTTTTGTTCTATTTAAAGCTATATGTAAGTACTGTTGTTTTTTTTTACATACACAAAAAAAGTTTAATTCGAATCATGCCTAAATCATAATGGTGTATGGATAACTATTATTTCTTGGATTGTATGCCAAGGAGCTTGAGTTTCCCACGTGTGTCATTAGACTTGTGACACTGTAAGTGACCGTCATTGCTGGCGCGACGCAATTACGTGTGACGAACGTACCTATACTTATTTCTTACCAATAGCTCTGCCCTTACTTCCTCTACTACGAAGCCAGAGTGTGGTAATCAATGTAATTATGTATTGTCTATGATTTTTATTAGATTTTCCGTATATTTCGCTACCGATTTGACTGTCATTTATTTTTTCAACGAACTTAAAACAAAAATTCAGTACACAATATAATATACTAAAAGCATTTATTTGGTACTATTATACTGTGTATTAGATTAAGCAAATTTAAATTAATGTAATGAGAAAAATTTAAAAATTGGAAATTGACTCTTAGGCTAAATGTGTTAATTAGCTTTAATCAACGGCCTACAGAAGTTCTTAGATCACTATCAGTATATTCTAAGTACCTAATAAAAGAAAATCTGCTACAATAGTTCTGTATTCACTAAAAACCGTATTCTCATTTTTATTTGACCCAAATCAATATCAATGTATAGTTCTAAGATACTCAACATCACAAATTAATTAGGTCTTCAAACATATCTGTTTCTTATACATAATAATTGTTTAAATTTGTAATAAGATTTCAATGCTTATTTCAAAAGGAATAGAGCTGATAATCGAATGAAAAGCTGGCCTAGAGAGATTAGTTGACCATAGCAGCAGTAAGGTAGTTCTCAAGAGATAATGAGCACAGGAACTGGCCATTTCATTTTGCTAGAGTATTAATCTCTTAGAGCGATTTGCTCTGCCAGCGTATTACGGATTTGTTTTATTCTACCGTTAATGTTATTTTATGGTATCCTTTGTTCCTTTTATTGTTTATATTCTTTAAGAAATTTTAAAGAAATTAATGTGTCGCTGCAAATGTACGACGTATGCGAATGCAGTCACTAATATAACATTTACATAATTTGTATTTGATTTAGTTATAAGATTATAATAATTAGAAGTACCTAAATGAAATTTTTACAGGACTGAACTATAACTGATGACTCTTTTTGACATCTAAAAATATAGACAGCGAGAATCAAAGATACGATGGATAGTCTGGTATTGTCATAACAAAACAACTGTAAATTTATAAACGTAACAAAAAATAAACATTACATTAATGACGGGTACCTAATTTTTAAAATATATATAATAAATTTGTTAAAACTAAGAATTTCGAATTAACGCAAGTACTTACATTTCACTCTACAAGTCATAACTCGGAATTAATTATTCTGAATTGAATGGTTAAGTTTTAAAACTGCAAGTTGTTTTTGGGTCTTCAAATCGACGTAAGTTTTACAAAGTTTTTATGTTGGGAAATTTTGTAAACAATTTTACGAATGTGTTTAATATCGTACGGTTTTATCGTCACAATTTATTAGAACACGACGGCAATAGTGAACAAAGGGGACTGACTATCCCATTTAATAATTACGGTCGATAGTATATTATGATAATTATAGGATGTAATAGGAGAGTAGATTGAAAGTATGTAATTTTATTGGAACGATTTAAATTTTTTATCGTGAACTTACACGACAATTTGGTTTTGTTCTCATACAACATCGTGACGATAAAATCTCAAGATATTTTACCGTAACGAATCCTCACTTATATTATAAATGTAAAAGGGAGTTTGTTTGTTTATTACACAAACAAATGTCATGAAATTAGATATATACATACTATTTGACATGGAAAAGAACATAAACTACTTTTCATCCTGGTCGATAAGAATATGGTAGTCACATGTACAAAGTCGCAGGTACAAACTAGTAATAACATGAAACGTTAAAAAATGCAACTGAAGAAAAATTTTAATTTTTGCATAAAAAATTAAACTAGTATTACCCACTTTGTCGTATAGTCAGTACGTAAGCAATGTAATTTGTTAGGCTTTTAAGACCCGGAAGAATTTAATGGCTTTAATAAATTGGTTTAAGGAAGCACTTTCTGATATTTTCTTTCTATAACTTTATTACTTGGAATGTCGTAGAACAAAGAGAAAACGTTACAAATTATGAAGTAAATACGCATTTTTAAGTAATAATCATTTATATTTAATTATATAATTTTTCGCATAATGTAATTGCCATAATTGGCATTTCAGAATATCAATTTTAGCCTAAAATAATGATATTAAGCCACCACTATTATTATAAATATAAAAAATAGATTTTTTAAAATAGGTTATTTGTTATTCAGTCACGCTTAAACGGCTGAACAAGTTTAAATGTAATTTGGTATACTATGGGTTGGTTCCTAATTTAACTTACAGCTAGAAAGTTGATGATTGATAATGTCGAATGATCAAATAATGTTTTAATGGCAGAAACACGAGCGAGATAGATGTATAGTTTTCCACAGGTGTGTATATTATTTGAATGTCTTACCATAGCCACCGTATCCCAAGCCGCCATATCCTAGTCCGCCGGAGTAGCCAAGGCCTTCATAACCCAAGCCGTGACCACCGTATCCTAGCCCACCATATCCTAGGCCGGCTAAACCTCGTTTTTCTGTCTTCTTGGCTTCTTCGGCGCAGACCGCGGCCACGGCAAGAGCGACGACAATCTGTTTAAAAGAAATAATAAAAATTATAACTTTTGATATTTAAACTTTTGTTTGCATATAATTTATATTTATTTATTGATATTTTATTAACATACATTTTTTATTGTTTTTTTTTACACTAATGAAGAAGAAAATTTGATACGATAATTTGATAATATATAAAATGAGAAATTTTAATAATATTTCGGATACATGTTTGTAAACTTTTATAATTAACAACATATTTATAGGGTAAAATTGCGGTTGCCAACCCGTCTGCCAAGTGTGGCAACTACTGACAAGATTTCCCTTATGGGGAAGTCTTATGTTTAGTAGTGGATAGTTAACGGCTGAAATAATTATAAAATAATGGAGTAAAAAACATCACCTAACATTAACATATTACGCCGACCCCAAAATTTATATAATTGGAATAAGGGCAGGCATTTGATGATGATGATTCTATGTATATAGGGTGAAACCGAAATAATTAGTTTACTAATAAGAAAGTATAATTCTGGTATTGTAATCGTAAAATTGGACATTTCATTTCCAAAGAGATATTTGTCAAAAACGATAAAAAAAAAATTAAGCCTATAATTTATTTAAATAGCTGGACGTGCTGTGTTAGTACAATTCAAAAAAATGTTATTCAAGACCCATGTCTTTTTGGGGAAAATATTTTCTCTGGTAGAACACTCATTAACAGATATTTCGATTTCATTTTATATCTTACTTATATAATAAAATTGTAACTAGACAATGGTTGTGCATATAAGAAAAAAATATGGAAGGCATCTTAGTAAAATCAATAGAGATCAAAACATTAATATTTAGAAATTCTGTCTATTGTCTATCTGTATGTTTGTTTCGGCATTTTACAAAAATTACGGCACTAAATTGGATGCGGTTCTAGCTGTTGTATTCCCGAAGGTTTAACTTAAAATCTGGTATACGCTTTATTTTTATCTCGATGTTCTATCTGGAAGTGGTTTATATCGTTAGTTTTCCTATTTCTGATATTCATGTGTATAAAATAAGTTTTTTTTTGTAACTTAAAATGGCAATCAAGCTGACTGCCCACTTGATGGAAAATGGTAACTGTCGCCTATAGATATGAACAGTACTATGGACATAACAGAGTATACTGATTTGCCTATAGTTCTTTTAACATAAGATAGTTTTTATATTAAAACTCTTTTAAAAATCTTAGAGAATATTAGTGCAGTACTTGTACACACGACAAAATACCAGCTTTACTAAAATGTATTGAACAGTTTAAAAGTTACACAAACAAACATTGCACCCGTGCGAAGCTGGGGTGCGTCATTAGTAATTAATATAAATGACATTATGCACTGAATGGTTATTTTTCTATGAATAAAATCCAACTTGTAATGTCGCGATTAAAATTAAATTATTTATTAAAAGTACAAGCTATGTTGTAGGGTTAAAACGAGATATATATAATTCGTGTGGTTGCAACTTCCGCCGATCAACTTCCTTCGGTCCTTTCATCTCGATGCTTATTATTTATTACTCATGTAATTTGTGTTAGAATAACCAATTTTCTGTGATCAAATATTATTGCAAAAATAATCTATTCTGTACTAATACGAACCAATAAATAATATAAGATTTTATTTTTATTAATTATACTTTATATTTACTAAATTTTGTTAATTTTAATCACTATTTTTGAATTAATTTGTAAAATATTTAGTTTTTTGAATTATATTAGTAATATCATAAACAAAGTAAATGTACAAAAGAAAAACAATTTCATATTTATATATATCTTTACGCCAGATTCCTTATGAGGTAGGTATACAGAGATGCTTTAGTCCCAAGGCACATATTTTTTGTTTCACTCAACTTGAACTTAAATAAAGTAAAAAGAAAATATTTTGAACAATTCTATAATAGCATAGTATTAATAAATACTTAATTATTATTTTTATTATATAATTTTTTTAATGAAAACTTTTTATTTATTTTTTTAAATTAAGAGATACATTTTTTATTATAAATGAATTTTGATGTTTAATGTAAATTTTAATTGTTAATATATTCTCACCAAGTACTTCATGTTGGATATATTAGGTTGTACTACAGCACTGAGCACCGACTGACTGATGAACGACTCCTGCGCGTCTACTTTATATACGTACGCCACACAACCGAGTCAGTATGAGTAGATATTATTTTTTTTCTTGCCAAGGATACCACTATGTAAGTGGAGATTGGGGATGATCAAGGGAATGAAGAAATAGTGCTACTGCGATGATATAATGGTACTTTGTGTTGTTTGTTGCAATATTATTATTGTATTATGAATGAAGTATTCAGTGACCTACAAGTGGGGTTTAAAAGTAAAAGTATTTTATTCTTCAGCAAGTTTTTATTTATAAAATGGCTAGCTACAAAATAGTAATGATCTTACTATTTTTTTTTAGTATTATTAGTAATAATTTAGTGTGTTTCAGTCAGAAGGGCAAGACAGTTAAAAATGATTTATTGCTGTAAATATTACATTGCAGGATATGGAGACATAATAATTAAGAAATTAGGAATGATAATGCATGATGGCCACTATAGGCATAGAGACAAGTTATTATTATTTTCCTAAGCTGCATACCTAAAAAAATATATAAAACCTGTGATAGTCTATACTAATATTATAAAGAGGAAACATTTGTTTGTTTGTAATGGATAAAATCAAAAACTACTTAACTGATTTTAAAAATTCCTTTACCTGAAGAAAGCTGTAATATCAACGAGTAACATAAGCTATATATTATTTTGAAAATTCTATGTACCTAACCGTGCGAAGCCGGGTTGGATCATTAGTATTGTATATAGTGATCTGTTTGATTTTGACAAAAGAAATATAATTCAACACAATTCAGTCCTCAATCAAACTATATATAATTATCACAGCTCTATATTTCATAACCATAGATCTGATACTGTTTTCAACTATAGGCGCCGTTCGCTACATTCCACGAGCTTGTTAACTGCCACCACTTATCCATGGAGGTGGAAGTACAACCTGTTAACGTCCCACTGCTGGGCATGGATCACTTTTTAGACAAAGAGGATATTATTCACAACGGCCAGGTTCTTTGTACAAGGATTTTTTTCGAGTTTTCTTTTTCTTTTACACAATGTATCGTACTTTGTTCTCCAAATAGCCACTTGCCATCCTTGAAACGAACCAAGTGGTAAAACAATGTATAAATTTGAACATTGTTTTTTAATGATTCTGAAGAAGATATAAACGGAGAGGTACACCTTTTGAAACGTCAAAAACTCATTTTATGCTAAAGTTATAAATGCAAAAATATTTAAATAGAATTTTATGAGTAGACTTCGACAACAAAATTGAATGAATGAATGAATATATATATTTTATTTGCATTATACAATATCTATATACTTATAATAAATCTGTAGAGAGGTCAATTCTGTACATGAAATATATTACCAAAATAACTATTAGGGGGTGATTAGTGATCAATACTGATGCCAAAAATGCAATCAGTAAAATTTTTGTCTGTCTGTCTGTATGTTCGTTATAGAAACAAAAACTACTCGACGGATTTTAACGAAACTTGGTACAAGTATTCTTCATACTCCTGGGCAGGTTATAGTATATATATATTTCATCACGCTACGATCAATAGGAGCAGATCAGTGAAGGAAAATGTTGGGAAAACGGGAGAAGTTACTCCATTTTTAAGCTTCCGTCGCGTGTGCAGGCTTAATGGCCACTTTTTAAAATGTAAAAATGTCAACTCGTGCCGTGGACGGTACAATAAATGTAACGATAGTACAGTAAGGCGGTCTTATTACTGAAAGCATTTTTTTCAAAACAACCTCAGGGTAATGGACTAATTGTTGTACAAGTAGGTATGATAATAATGTATAATTAAGAAAGTGAAACATTAAGGGAGATAATTACAAGTACCTATTATCAAATTCATTTTAATTCGAAGTAATATAACGACAGAAAGACCATGAAAAGAAATATATTCTTGTTTTATTATAACTGTTGGTCAGGGTCACAAGTCAACCTTTTGTAAAATTTCAGCAAAAAAAATGTATTCGACTACGTGCGGTAATATGATATCAGAAGATAAAGGCTTCACCTAGTTTTTATGCAACTTTAAATGGCAAACAAGCTAAGGACTGTCCTGTCCTGATAGAAAGAAATAACTAGCTATTGATTATATAAATAAACAATACTATAGACATATGATACATACGAATAGTCATCTCGTAACCAAATCACCAGGATGTAACCAGGATGGTATTTAAAGTGAATTGTCAAGATTGACTTGAGAAGGTTTTTTGTTTTTTTTAAGGATTTGAAAACCTCATGTCACATTAAATGATCCAAACACCCAACTATAGCGGTATACATCGAGCACTGGTATATTCGTATATCTAATCTGTTTGTTGTTATTATTTAACTTTGTGTTGTTTTAAGGTTTAATGCAAATTTGTTTGTTTGTTTGCGTTGTGATTGTTTTATTTACGAGTTGTTGGGTTTATTTACGTGTTTTTATATTTGTATTTCTTTTTGCAACTTTGAATTGCAAACAAGTTGACGGCGCACCTGATGGAAAGTGGTAATCGTTCCCTATAGACATGAACAGTACGAGATATGGTACTGTTCATGTCTACATGATAATGTCCTGTAATTTCATTGCCATATTTCACTCTCTAACCGAAACACAGCCATGAAAATATAAGTTTTTCACGACGTAAATACGAATGGGACAGAGGTACCCAAGCATTTATTATTACATTTAAATTTTTTGCTCTGTATGCACCTTATTTTTATTTACTCTTATTATTATTATTTTTTGCGTTATTAATAAAACTATATCTTTTATGTTTTTTTATATATTTTTTGTAATCAACTGTGCACTTGCATGACTGCGTTTCGGTTTAAAGAGATATGGTAATTAAATTACAGGGAATCAGGGTATATTTTATGATATTCATGACATTGGCCATGCGACACTTACCTATTTTCATCATGTACTCGTAGACCGTAGGCTTATTTGCCATTCTAAATATCATTAAAAAGTTTCTGCACCCCAGAGGGATTCCAAAAATCTATTTTTTCGGGGTTCTGATTAATCAATATTTATGACTAAGCCTAATTTCTAAAGCAAGGTCTATTTCATAATGTATTTTTAGTTTATGACGATCAAGCCGTATTTAGTTTTGTAGGTGTTAAAAAAATTGCAACATGTTGCATGCTTCAGCATTAGTGTGAAATAAAAATAAAGATGTATATCTTGGAACGTTAATTATTTGATAACAAAAAATAGGATAATAAAGATATAAAATTGTATAAAGGAAATATAAAACTTTTTATTATTTCTATAAATCAAATTGAGATTTTTCTTACCTTAGGTTATATATTTAAGTATTATTATTTTTTATTATTACTTTGTTACAATATCTCTAATATTTTTTCCACATTTAACTAAAAATATATCAGCTTTTTGTAAATTAGTCATATTATGAGTAAAATAGCTGAGGATAAATTTGCAAACAACGATTATTTGCATTTGTAAATCTTAGATACTGTATTTGCAAGACTACACTTTTGGGCTTAATTATTGCGGTTTATTATAATTTCAGAAGTTATTTCGTTACTATATACGGATCCTTAGATTATTGGCAGTAGACTTGCATTGTTTAATTGCAATGTGTTGGTTGATGTTATTAGCAGATATAGTCTAGAATTGCGTCTGAGCTTACGTTTTAGGTTTTGCGTAACATTTAACACCGACGCACTGTCTTCATAAATTCTTGGAAGCATCATTGTTCATGGAAAATACAATTATTATTTTCTTATAAATTACATCGATACATTTCTCAGAATCATTACAGATAATTTAATATTATTATTAATATTTAATTAAACAAAACACAAAGTATTAAATAATATAATAGAAGATATAATTAATAAAATTATATTAATCTCATTATACTTCAAACTGGCATTATTTATTCCAACGATTTCTTTAAAGATTTCACAAATAAACTTCTTTGTACTAATATTAATAAGCTTTATTCCATTAGAAAATTGAAATATATAATAAATAGTTAATTTATGAAATGTTTAAAACAAACCTCGTATTCATGTAAAAGTGAAGGATACATATAGATAAATAAAAAAAAAAAAGTTAATATTTTTTTATTTAATACGGATTATGAAATACACTAGTAGGTATGCAGTAGGTAGTGTCACTACTTGGTTTACCAGTATTACTTAATTTTTTGAATGAATCATTATTACCACTCATATAATAATGGGATTTTAAAAATATTTTCATATAATTAAGAAGCATTTACACTTTTGAAATTATGCGTCGGCCCGTTTCACTTTACGAAACTGTCATGGGACTATAAAATTGTATTTTTTGTATGATCTGTTAGTTTCATTATTACCTACGTTACGTTTATACAACGTAAGGTTTTCCCACAAAAAATGTACCATTGCGTACGCGTCCTTTGCGAGGTCGCTCCAATTATTCGTTGAACGAAGTAATTCTTTTACACTTTAGACGTTGTTTCTTTGTCTGGGTGTCGAAATGATATTGAACATAGAATTATAACTGATTTGTGATTTGTAAATACGGAATTTATAACGTATACATGATACTTGTGATTATTTACCTTAAATGTAACTTTGTATTTAGGAGTGTTTTGTGGTAAAAATTTTATTACATAATTCGACACTTGTGTTGTAATTTATAAATGTTCCACTATTGGCCCTTAAAATATTAGCAGTTTAGTTAAAAGTAAAAAACGATAACTGAATGGGTACAAGTATATTTTTAACCGACTTTAAAAAAAGGAGGTTCTTAATTCGGTTTTTTTTTGGTTTGTTTGTTGTATTTTTTTGTTTGTTGCCTCATTACTATGTTATTTATAAACCATTTTAAAAAGTTCTTTTTAATCTAAAAGAATATATTTACAAATTGGTCCTATAGAAATTTTATCAAAATTAGTTTACTCTTGAATCCAATATCGATTATATATATTGCCAATCCAATATATTGCCAATGACAATTTTATACTGCACTCATGAAACAACAGGGATTGGAAGAGAAGTGGAATGGGTTTACATTGACAATTTACACTAATATCCATCTAT